TTACCTGCTAATAGCGATCTGCGGGTTTAGTGCAAAAGCGCACGATCGCACCGGAGAGCCTGGTGCATTCCAGCCTTGGTTTATCTGCCTCTCACAAACGAAAATAAACTTCTGTTTCACGTCCCTTTTTATTCTGGCGCAAAAGCACATGCAATCTCTAACTTTCTTTTTGGGCACGTTGACGTAAGTGTTAGCATCACGCTTATTTTTTTCTTCCTACTGCACTTGATAGGCATTCGAGCAGAAATTTTGTTCTCTAGCCGCGTACTAGGCTGAAACCTTAAATCACCTTTCTATATCTTGCTTGAAGAAAATGGTTTTTTTTATAAACAGCGTCAGAAAACTGTAGACAAATGCTAATGCAATGGCCTAGTAAGACTGCACCAAGAGTAGCTCACCGCAAAAATGTAAAAAGAAGGTTGAGTCGCCATCTGGTGCGCGTCACTGTTCACCCAACACAATAGCTAACTTAGGACACAGATAATTTAATCCATTTTTCGAGGAACGAAAGCCTTCAGGAAATACATCCATAAACAGCAGTTTTTCAGGATATAGCCAGCACAGCGGAATCCGGTTGGGATTTCAGCAGTCGCTGGCTGCGCGATAAACGAACTCTGAAAACCGTTGAGACAACTAAAATTCTACCGGTTGATCTGAATGCGCTGATGTGCTGGAACATGAATATTCTGGAATATTTCTACGAACTTGTCGGTAAGCTAAAAAACTGAATTGAAAAGTAAAGTATAAATGATAAATAAAGCAATATATAAAATCATATGCTGAGATTAAATTTGAATTAAAAAAATTTGGTTTTTTTAAATTCGACGGTTCAGTTCCGATAGCTGCAGGGGGAAATAGTCGATTTTCTTGTTTGCAGTGCCAGTAAAATTTCTTCACCGACGGACACGAACTTATTCTGGTCCTTATGTCACATTCCAAAAATCTTGCTGCTGTTCGCTCTTTTGTTTCTCGGCGAAAACAGTCTGTAATTTCAAAAGCACAGTCCTAGTCCGCATCGGAAGTGTTTGCAAGAGAAAGCGTATCCCTCGGCAAAAAAAAAATTGATGTTATCGGCTAAAATCAATTGAGATTGTTAAGTGTTTCGGCGCGAAAATTTCGAGCTTGAGTCGAGCTAACCTAATCTCGATGGATGAATTCAACGGTCTGCGTAGATACAAAAATGTTGCTGAAAAGGAGAAGCATGAAAAAAGATGAAATTTAATGTGTGATTGAGTATCGTCTCTTTTGCCTAAATGAAGTCTCTTTTGCCTGAAAATAGATTTGAAAACTGTAACCGTGGAAAAAAGAAGCGGCTCCTTGAGAAAAACTTTTGAAGATGAGACTTTTGCAGTGTCTTGTAGTCGTGACGCTAAAAAAATGTGTTTCGAGCCAAGGATCGAGCGTAGCTGGTTGAATTTGCCAAGAATTAGACATGAGTCTTTTCTGTTTGTTAGCCGGAATTCCGGCGCTTAAAGTTTAAACCATCTAGTAGTAGTAGTAGTAGTAGTAGTAGTAGTAGTAGTAGTAGTAGTAGTAGTAGTAGTAGTAGTA